TTTTAGCAACACAAATGTAGTTTAGAAATCTTTATTTTAGGAATTTTTTTCTGTAATTAAATTTCTTATTGTATTTTTAAAGTTTCTACTATGATATTATATAAATAAATAAAAAAAAAAAAAAAAAAAAAGATTAAGCTCTAACTGCAAGTATTAGTTCTGTCATAGCAATATTTAGATTAGCTATAAAAATAAGTACAGAAGGCTCTGAAAAAATTACCTCAAAGATAAAATAGTCTTAAAATTAAGACAATAATCTGAGTATCAGATATGACCTAATGAAGTTAACAGGTTCAAAGAGTTTAAAGTAGAATATCTAAGCAAAAATATTAGGTATGGCAATTGGTAAGAAACCTTCAAGTAACTCTTTAAATAGGTAATATAGAAAAGTTATACATGTAGCCAATTGTACACTCTTTCTTTAGTAGTTTACTGAATCACATTTACTATTACCAAATAAAATCAAAAGATCCAAGAGGTTACCTTAATACCAAAAAAAAATAAAGTACTAGCATAACAGCTTATAATCTAAAAAAAAATAATAATAATAGTTAGAATAGGATTTGCTATGATTTATTATATTTTTTATTAGAATTTTTAATTTTTAGAATTTTAATTATTAAGATTTTTAGCTGTTAGAATTTTTTTATTAGAATTATAACCTGTTAGAATTCTGTTTATTAGGATTTTAATCCAAATCTATATATTTTACTAGACTATTTAAATTAAAAATCAGAGGAGTTTTATTAGTTCTAAGTAAAATTTAGTAAAAGATGATAAAGAAAATATTATAATAATAGATACTGGGGTTCTAGTAAACTTTACAAGAGTAAGAATAGTGTAATATAGTAGTTAAATAGATATCTTTGTAACTGCAAGTATTAAATAACTATAGTGTATTGTATAAAACTAGGTCAGCTATATGTAGAACACAAAAGGTTTTAGTAAGTTTCTTGTTAAAAATAAAGTAGTTCTAAAAGTCTTGAAGGCATCAAATACTTTAAATAAATATAGCTCTGAAGATATTACTGTGATACAAGTTGGACTACATATGTAGAAAGTTTAAATAGACAAGACCCATAGTTGGTTTGCAGCTATAGTATCTAGTATAAAATTTGTATAGTATTATATAAGTGGACTACTTAAATTAGGCACCAAAAATGCATATATAGCTAGTTGTAATCTTCTATATATAAATGCTTTTGAAGACATCTATGTTCAAATACTTGAATAAAAACAATAATTTCTAAAGGCAGAAACTTTAATTTAAAAAATAAAAAAATAATTAAAGATCTTAAAATTCTTTATTTAATTTATTGTTAGAACTTAGTATTCGATTTCTGTTTGATATTTGTTTAAGTATTGTTTTAAAGAGTATTAACAAATTATTTTGGAAATAATAAAAAACATTTTTATCAATATCTATTAATTTTTACTTCTGATAACTAATTTATTACTAATATATTAATATAAGATACAGTTATCTAAAAGATATATAATTTTTGTAAAACCAATTCATCAATTTTTCTTTGATATTATCTATAATATAAGTAATATAATAATTAAAACAATAACTATAAATAAGAGTGAAGTAGATAAGTTGTTAATTCTCAAGTGTCAGATCTAAAATTCAATTTTTATAAATGACAAATTTTGAAAATTATATCTGTATTATAGTAACCGTTTCTTGTTAATCAGTTGGATTTATTTATTTGTAATCTTAAATATATCAGATTGGAGCCTACCTAATTTTAGAAACTTAGAGCATCTATGCAAAGTATAACATTACATAAACATAGAAAAATATAGAGCATTATTTATTAAAAATAGCCCTTTTTTGCAATTTTTTAAAAAATACATTTTTATTAAATTCTTATAAATTTTGATATAATTGACATTTTTCAATTATAAATAAAAGTCAATTTGTATAATAAAAATTCAAGATAATATTAAAGAAAAATTATATGAGACTGCTTAAGACCAACATATCACAAGATTACTTAATGGTTATCTGTTACCTTTAACTAATTAAAATTATGAAATTATTAATCCTAGATCAGTATAAAAATCAAAACAAGTAATTAAACTCAATTATTTAAAAATAAGAAATATATAAAAAAGCTGTTTTAATTGATAACACCTCATATGAAAAACCAGTATTATATAAGGCTTTAATGCAAATCTGTAACAAGACTACCAAATATAGAAGACTAAAAAACTAAAAAGATAGAAATTTACTTAAAAATTCAGAGTAAAAAGATAGTATAAATTTTCAATAATACTGTTAAACTAATAGAAGTTTATAAAATATTTTTATAGAAATTATTAGATAAACTAGATAACAAGATATATAGAAAAGTATATAACCAATTAGGCTGCCAGAATTGCTAAAAAAAAAGAATATATAAGTATACCATACCAGGCCATCTGAATTGGAAGTCTGAAAAGTCTGTCACAAGACTAAAACAACACATAGTATATAACAGTTATTTACTATGCCACTGTTCATTGTTTGAAGTATCTTTTTTGATACATTAAATTTACTAGTATAATTTGATTATCTTTAACAATAAACATAAAGATAAATAGAAATTTTAGCTTTTATTACTGTTTATTTATCAATATATTTAAATGTTATAGTAAAAAAACATTTGCCAATATAGTCACATCTTTCTAAGTACATGCTGTCAGGACCATAGTGAAAAAAATCAAAATTTTGCACTTATGGTAAATAAAATATATAAGGTTCTTATAAGTTGGAGCCAATCTATAAATTGCATTTAGAGAGATTTTACATAGCACTTACATTTAGGAAGTGTGCACTTAGAGGGGTGTGATTGTATTATTAAATTATACTATATATTATTAAATACTAGTATTAACAAACCTAATCTCAAAAAAATTTTTAGCTAAATTAAAAAAATAAATATTCTTGGCTGAAATATGATGCCCAAAACAATCTGATGTTTTGCATATTATGTTATGCTTATAATAAAAAAAATACTTTTAAAACAAATAACAAATTTAAATTATTTAATTTGCATTATAAAATATTTTAAATAAGTTTCTAATAAATAATTTAATTAAACTCTGCAAACTTTAGAGTTAGTGCTATAAAAAGTTATATGAAAATGGAAGATCATTTTAAATCATATAAACAAAATAAAATTACAAGTATGCCACCAGAACATATTATAAGTTTAATGAAGATAGTATATTATATAGCAAAAGATAATCTTTTATTAAATAAATTTAAACATCTTACTTATTTTGGCTATACTATTGAAGTCCTATATTTGATTTCTGAAAACCATCCAATTATTTATGAGAATAATATATGTGGTTAAGAACTATTATATTCTATATCTTCTTCAATTGAAAATAACATTTGAAGAGAATTGTCTTTTGTATTAGCTATTGGAATTATAGTTGATGAAAGTACTGATATTGCTATAAAATCTTATATTATAATCTATATTGGATATTTTCTTAATAAGATTATCAAAATATGATTTTTAAGCTTATTAGAAATTAAAGCCAAAAATGCAAAGTCAATATATAATACAATAATTAAACAGTTTATTGTAAAAAGTAAGGTTATTATATAGTTTATAATTATTAATTAACATTAAAATTAATTTTTTTATTTATTAACTAAAAAATTAAATCTAAATTTATTTAGAAGTTAATTATAAACTTTTTTATTTACATTAGATAGTGCAAGTGCAATGCAAGAAAATATTTCTAGAGTCACAACATGAATAATTAAAATTAATCTATACATATTTTCTATATATTGTATTGCACATTGACTATTACTAACATGTGAATCTGCTGAAAAACAAGTAGAATCTTGCATTTTATACTAAATCTGTATTGAAAAGAATCTATGTATTTTTTAGCAATTCAAGTAAATAAATTCAAACTTTATTTACATATTAAGAAAGTCTTAATAAGCCTTTATTAAAAATTTCAAAAATTTTTGAGATTTAATAGCTTTCTTTATATGAAATAGTAAATAATATATACTTTTCAATTGAACCTTTACTTGACATACTACTTCATACTATTAATGAATCCAAAAATCCAAAAATTTAATATTCTATTTTTGACTTATACTCAAACTTTTGTAATTGGCAAACTTTGGCTTTTTTTTATTTTCTTCAAGATATTCTTACTGAACTTACAATATTATCTAAATTTTTTCAAACCTGATTTCTTTATTTTAATAATATATACTCTACTATTCAAACTACTATTATGAAATTAGAAAAAAATTATTTAAATATTAATATTAATTATCTCAAATTAAGTACTAATCTAAACAAATTTTTTATTTTTACTTCTTCTAAAAAGAATACAAAAATTGGTTCTTATTTACTTATTTGAATATTAGATCAAGAAAGTAATTTAATAGCAGATATTACAAGTTTTACTTTTATATTAATTTTAGAAATTCAAAAGCAATTTCAATGTAATTCTTTTATTAATACTATAAAAATATTTAAATTATTAGATAAGTTATTAAATAGTCAAAATATATTAAAATTTGGTAATAAAGAATTAAAATTATTACTTAATTTTTATGGCAAACCTCAACTTCCTTTATTTTTACTAGCAATAGTTAATTCTAATAATACATATAAAAAATAGTTCTATTTTAAAAAACCAATCTATGAAAATTATTTACATTTACTAACAGAAGAATTACTTGTTTTATTATTTTAATATCATATTAATATGTATCTGGATATTGGTAAATTATTAGTAATAATATATTCAATTTTCTTTTCTAGTATAAAATGAATGTGATTTTTCTAAGCAGAATTTAATTAAGACTAAATTGTGTAATGCTTTAAATTCTGATATATTAACAAAATTTGATTTTAGCAATGCATTAAATATTTGATATAAAAGCAAAAAAAGAAGAATAAAGTAAATATTAGTTATTAAATATATATTAACTACAATAATTGTAACACTTTTATCTAATAAGCTACTGTATAATATAAATATTATACCTTATTAAAATTGTCTCAATTTACAATTAGACTATTTGAATTAAAGTTTAATGAATTACTCTAGTAGAACTAAAATATTAAGATTAGTATTAGAATTAAAATTAGTTTTAAAATAAAAAAAAATTAAATTTTAATAAGTATAATTTGGTTAAATTACAAAATTCTTGTCTAAAACTGTCACATTTCTTATTAATATCAATATAAATTCTTGCAATTTGTAAGAATTAATAAATTTATAAAACTTACAAACAATATATATTTATTATCAAGTAAATAATATAGGCTATATTTATTTATAAAAACAAATTTATATTTTAAAAGATATAAATCATTACTTTTGTTTAATAGCAGTTAAAAATAAAAACATATTTTATATAAATATAAATATATCTATTAATATATATATATTTTATTAATGCAGTACTTATATTATATGTATACAATATTGCATTAGATTGTTTTTTTTGGACAATAAAATTTTGGATCAAAAACAATACTTATTGAATGACCACTATATACTATATGTCATTTTAGCCCTGATTTGTTAGTTCTAAGTTGTAGTTAATAGAAGATAATAAAGAAGACATCAAAAGATTTAGGTAAACTTTATAAAACTAAAAACAGTTTAATAGATAACTTTAACTGCAAGTGTTGGTCTTAGCTATAGTGTTAATCAGATTAATAATAAAAGAGAATACAATTTGTTTTGGTAAATTTATCTTAAGGATAAAAATAGTCTAAAGATTTTAGTCCTAAAGTTGAAATGAAAAGATCTAAATTAAGTGATCTGATAAAGTTAATACCAGGATGCAGATTAGAAAGTTTAAATAAAACATCTTAATAAAAATATTAGATATAGCAACTAGTAGAAAACCTCTAAATAAACTCCTTAAATAGGTAATATAAAAAAATTATATATATAGTTAGTTATATACTCATTTGTAATAATTTAATATTAAAAAAACAGGTACTGTTAATGTCTAAAGCTAAAATGTGTATAAGTATTGATTATTAGTAAATTTTGGGTTGCTGGACTAATCTGTATCTATTTATATAGTTTGATTGGCCATTATTTGATCATATAACTGGAATTCAACACAAAATCATATCAATTGCTTTACTATTAGAGTCCTCACTATGCTTCAGACAATAAACATATGTTTATATAAATATATGCCTAATATAAGTATTAATAAAAAGTTAAAAGACCAAAGAGGTTATCTTAATACTAAAAAAAAACTACAACAAATTATAATTAAAAAAAAAAAACCAAAATAAATTAAACTATTAAAATCAGAATAAAAAAATTATTAGCTTACCCTATTAATAAAACATATATAATAAATATAGATTAATAAATATATAAATATTAATATTATTTAATTAATTATTTTAATATTTATAAATATTTAGTTAAATAAAAAAGATTAATATTTAGTAAATTTTTTAATTGTATTAAACAAAACTACTAGTCTTTATTTCTTGTTAAATGTAACTAAAATTTTGTTAAAGTACAATTAGTATCTATTTTTTTATATAATAATATTGATAATCTAAATAAAAATAATAATAAAATTTATAAAAAGTTAATAACCTTAATAATAAAAACACTAATACTTTTTAAAGAACAAAATGTAGCTAATAATACTTAATGAGTTAAATTTATAAAAAGAATTTTAATCCTATTAGTAAAATAATTAATGAAATAAAAGAATATAAAAAAAAAAAACCTTATTTTTAACTTGAAAAAGATATACAAATAATATGTATTTTTTAAAATAATTTACAATATAATTATGTACTAATAAGTATTTATTTAATATAACTAATAGGATGCAAATTATTAACTCTTTCTAACAATCACTTATACCAAATTTTTGCTGCAAATATTTGACTCTTACTCATTTTGAATGTCTAAGTAAAGTTGTTTCTAATACAATTTTATTCTTAGATAGCCAAGTTTTATATCTTTAAGTTCTTTTTTAACAAAGATATATTTAACAAACTAAAAAACACTTCTATTCAAGTTGTCTCAAACTTTTACTAAATTAACTGTTCTGGTAACTTAGAACAAACTGAATGAGCTCATTATCAGCTTCATATTAATATATAAATCTTTTTTTTTTTTTTTTTAAAGAGAGGTCTATTCTCTTTCTCTTTTATTTATAATCAATTATACATATATAAGATAAATACATATAAAAAAACTATATTATAGGAGATAGGATAAGAGCTACTTTACTCTTGACCTATTCTTTGCTAGAATGGTTGCTAAACCTCTAGTCTTCGAGAAGATGCATTAAGAAAGTTAGTCCATTGTTTGTGTATTTTACTAGTTTTTTTTTCTATAAAAGATGGGGCCAAAGGCTTAGTTTTGTTTAGTATTGGAGTCTGTATTGAGGCTGAGTTTAGAAGAATTGAATCATGACTTGTCTTTCTAGAGACTAGCCAAATTGTTTTGTATATTTCTGTAATAATGTTATGATGTATTAGTGGAGTGTATTTGTGCCTATGACTGTTTGTATCAAAAGGTGCTAAGGTGTTTCTAGTGATGAGTCCTAGTGGTATCTGCTTAGTTATATGTGTAGTAATAAATGCTTTGACAAAGGCATCCAAGTGCAAACATGGTATTTCCAATTTTCGTAAAGTTTCATATACTGTTTGTCTAACAAGGGTTGAGAACCATATGTAATTTTGGATGCAAGTTAGTAGATAGACAATATCTTCAGAGTTACTGTGACATCTTAGATATAAGTGGTTTGGATATTTTTTCTTATTTCTCCAGTGCAATAGTAAGTAAGTTGGAAGTTCTTCAGATAGCAGTTTAATCTTGAAATTCTTGATTGCTGAGGATAATGGATTAGTGTTTAAAGCTAGTGGTTTTTCTCTAAAAGAAATATATTTTAGTGTAGAAGTCCAATCAATATTGTTTTGTGATGTATGCCAGCTTGAGATCCATTGTTGACAAAACCATAACAGCTGGTTTGTAATTTGATGGATATGTTTTAGAGTGGTTTTTAGCAGATATCTGCATGGTTTGTTAAGAAGTCTTAGAACAAAACAGTTGTATAGAAAATGTTGTAGTGCTAAGTCTAATAGGAAAATTATGCCTGTAGTTTCTTTGATTTTTATATTTTCATCCAGTGTAATGTTGAGTTTCTGATTGCATGAGAGTGCTTTTAGAATTAGGAGAAGATATGTGTGCTGCTGCTTGTCAAGTACAGAATAGTTATAAGGCTTAATAGAGGTTACCAAATTGATATACATAGTGAAGGTAGAATTATCTGTACAGATGTTTACTTCTGTATAAGAATTGACTGTAGTAAGAATAAAGTTTAGCAAGTTAAGCATCATGCTTATATGTGAAGGCCATTGGTTAGTAAAGCAACCAAAACAAGTGTTGGTATTTTGTATATAGCATTTTGCTATTATTTGAGAGTTGTTATTTACTGTTTGTTAGTTAGAGGTTAAGTAGATTGTTAATGTTTTTATATTGAAGTTGGCTTCTGTTAATGTTTTCTAGAGGTTAATTAGAGAGTTTTCAAAAGAACATAAAGGTCTTTCTAATATTGAGTTTACGTCTTGTGATTGCTTTTGAGTTAAGGTTATTGATTTAACATAATTTAGTGCTCTTTTAAAATCTACAATGTCTAAGTAGATTTTCTTTTTGCAATCAACTTGCAGGTTGTATAGTGATGTTGTTACATTAAAGTAGCAATGCTTGGACAATATGATCGATTCTTTAGGTTACAGTCTGTGCATACTGATATTGTGTTATTTGGCTTTAGGATGTAATGTCGAGCTTTGAGAACTTTGTTGTAAGGATTATGTATTTTACCAATAATAGAATTATCTGTGATTATTCAGCCTTTCTCTTTAGAGTTTCATTGAGACAAAGTATAAGGGTTTACATGTAGGAATGTTGATAAAGGATTAATAGAGGCTGCTATTAAGTCTTGAACTATAAGAAACCAGTATGAACAGCATCTTCTTGGTATTTTTTTAATGTTGTGATGAAAATTGTTCCATTTTAGGAGCTCTGAGTTGGTTGCATTTAGAAATTGTTCTATGCTAGTGATGTTATGATTGTTCAGTTTTTCTTTAAGGTAGGAAGCTCTAGGATGATTTAGCAGAATTTGGTTTATTGAGGTTTCAGTAAAGGTTTTGGGATAAGGCCAGTTGTTACCATTTTGTGAAGTCTGTAAATTTAAAGCATGAAGTGCAAGCACCACTTGGCTAGTTTGTGTATTTAGTTGTGAAGCTAGAAAAACTGGAAGTTGAGTGAGAATAGAAGTATTAGTAAGAGCTGAGTCTTGTAATTGTTGTAGTCGTAACTTCAGGAATGAGAAGTTAAAACTATGATGGTTTAAGTTTTTTTGGATTATTGTTACTAAGGAAGAGAGTTGGGCCTGAGCTAAGTTGCTTAAAGCATAGATGTTTGGATTGAATAGGAATGAGTTAGAAACTCCCTGAGCCAGCCTTGCTTTATGTTTAACTAAACTAGTGCAGATCTTGTTAAGTATGTTGATTTGAGTATTAGAAAGAAATATGGAGTGCAGCCTATAGAGCAGACGTAAGAAGATAATACTATTTATTATATAGATTGCTTGTTTTTCTGTTATATGAGCAAAT